TCAAAAATTACGATAAGTTAATGAGTAGTCAGACTAACAAAAAGAAAGTTAAAAAGTATCATTGTAGGACCTGCTCTCATGGTTTTCAATCAGAAGAACTTTTAAAGAAACACGAAGAACAGGGATGTCTAGCAGTTGAGGGTCAAAAAATAGAAATGCCAGAAGCAGGTGAAACAATAGCATTCAAAAACCATTGCAAGAAACTTAAAGCTCCATTCGTAATCTATGCCACTTTGAATGTTTAACTGTGCCAATTGATGTTAAAAGCAAATCGGCAAAGGCTAAAACTACATCATATCAAAATCATCGTCCGTGTGGTTTTATGATTAATGTAGTCAATGCTATAGCCGGAAGTAGTGAGCCTTACTTATACAGAGGTGAAGATTGTATGGATAAATTTGTTGAGAAAATCAATAAAGTCAGAGAAGATATTATTAGTAGGATGAAGGAAGTAAAAGAGATAATCATGACTGAAAAGGACAAGGAAGATTTTGAAAATGCTACTACTTGCTTTATCTGTGGAAATGATTTTAAACCTGAGGACAAGAAGGTTCGAGACCATTGTCACTTTACTGGAGCTTACAGAGGATGCGCCCACGATGATTGTAATCTTGGTTTTAGTATGAGATATTATAAAATCCCTGTGTTTCTTCATAACCTTAAAAACTATGATGCCCACTTAATCATCAACAAGGCTCACGAACTGAACAAGAATTCTAAAATAGAATGTATCGCTCAGAACAGCGAAAAGTTTATAACCTTTGGTTTTAAAAATCTTTGTTTCAAGGACAGTTTCAGTTTCTTATCGTCTTCGTTGGATAAGTTGGTGAAGTTGAGTAAATATGAGGATGATAAAAAACGTGAGAATTGGAAGAACAATTTCAGATACAGCGTTAGAAACCCGTATGTTAAAACCGATGAAGATTTGGATTTATTGACTGATAAGGGTATTTATCCCTATGACTACTTTGATGATTTTGAAAGATTTAAGGAAAGGGCTTTACCACCGAAAGAAGCGTTTTACAGTAAATTGAGTGAAGAACATGTAAGTGATAAAGATTATGAAAGGGCACTGAAAGTATGGAAGCACTTCGGGATTAGAACACTCAGGCAGTATCACGACTTGTATTTAAGAACTGATGTTTTACTACTGACCGATGTATTTGAAAACTTTAGAGACTTGTGTATGGAATACTACGGTTTAGACCCCGCTCATTATTACACATTACCAAATTTCGCATGGGACGCGATGCTTCTAAAAACTGGTGTTGAAATAGAACAATTGCATGACCAAGAAATGTTTGAGATGGTTGAAAAGGGAATGAGAGGTGGAATGTGTCAGGTTAGTCATAAATTAGCGGTGGCAAATAATAAGTATATGGGGGAAGCATATGATGAGAACAAGCCATCAAATTATATTAGTTACTTGGATGCTAATAACTTGTATGGTTTAGCAATGTCCCAGAAGTTACCGCTAAAAAATATCAAGTGGGCAAAGAAAACGCCCAGTGTTAGAAAAATGGAATGAAAACGATGAGTTCGGTTATATTATGGAAGTTGATTTGGAATATCCCGAAACATTGCATGATTTCCACTCCCACTATCCACTAGCGCCTGAAATAATGAATGTAAATGTGAATATGCTTTCCGATTATCAAAAGCAAGTCTTCAAAATATATTATGATGGTAAAAGTCCCAAGGACGAGAAAACAAGTAAGTTAATATTAAATCTAAAGGATAAAGAAAAATATGTGGTTCATATCAAGACTTTACAGTATTATTTGAAAATGGGAATGAAAATGGGTAAAGTCCATAGGATAATCAAATTTCAACAGAGGGCATGGTTGAAACCGTGGATTGATTTCAACACTGGTAAAAGGAAAGAAGCCAAAAGCGATTTTGAGAAAGATTTATTTAAATTAATGAATAACGCGGTGTACGGAAAAACTATGGAAGACAAGCGAAACCATATGGACTTTGAACTGGTGGATAATGAAGTTAGATATGAAAAATGTGTTAATAATCCAACTTTCAAAAATAGATTTATTATTAATGAAAATCTCGTCGGAGTTGAGAAAACTAAAGCGAAACTGAAACTGGACAAACCGATTTTCCTAGGAATGAGTATTTTAGATTTAAGCAAATTACATATGTATCAGTTTTACTATGATGTATTGAAAAAGAAGTATAATGAAAACATCAAATTGATATATACTGATACTGACAGTTATGTAATTCAAACAATGACTGATGATGTCTATAAGGATTTCAATGATATAAAGCAACACATGGATTTTAGCGACTATCCACCTGAACATCCATGCTTTGACAAAACTAATAAAAAGGTCTTAGGAATGTTTAAGGACGAAGTGAATGGAAAAATCATTACTAAATTCATCGGATTAAAACCTAAATCATATGCCTTCACAATTCACGGTGAGGTTGATGAACATAAGAAATCAAAAGGTGTAGTGAAACACAAAGTGAAAAAAGAACTGTCGAATCAGAACTATCACGAAGCATTATTTCAAAACAAAAAGCATGAAATCACATATAACTTCATCAGAAGTAAGTCACATCAAATATATTCAATGTCTCAAGTAAAGCAATCTCTCAGTAATTATGAAAATAAAAGGTTTTATATTGATGCTTTCACTTCATTACCATATGGGCATTATTCCATAAAATAATTATCTAAATAGTTCTAATAATATGAAATTATTAGAATTATTTTCAGGGATGGGATTTTAAAGAGTTTGGTGTGGGCATCCCCTCCGTGCATCGAATACAGTCGCGCGAAAACAACAGGGGTTAGAAAGATAGGGTGAGGTGGTCGGCGGAGGCATGGTTTCGTTTAAATAAACATGGTTGTTCGCACTCCCCGTATCCAACCCAGTCTTTTCGATAGGAGTGGACGGTTTGCTTAAGCGAACCCCGTTCGCTCCCGCCTCACTCCTACCCGGGTGGGATGCCACCAACAGAACCTGTGGCAGACCGAATTACGGATACGGGTGAGTGCTCCTATAGAAATCCACCATTAAAAAAGCGTGTGAAATGAATCACCAGCATCATCAGCATCATCCAGCATTATCAGCATCACCAGCGTCCAGCATCAAAGCAGGCGGTTACTCTTTTGGGGTTTGGGTCTCGGTTGGAGCAACCGCCACCTACCTGTGTGTTGTCTACGTTGGAAACCTGTTGCCTTTAAGGGGGTGTTTAGGACGAAACTCCATTGGAAAGGCATCTTTAAAAGGGAAGGGTCTCCTGAAACATTTGATGCCTTTCTCGGAGTTAGTCCCCTGTTAAGTATGGGGAGTAAACAAAGGGAAACCCTGACACTGACAGTCCGCACTGCTCTTGCTCCGCAGACCCTGCTGATGTCGCTTTTCACTCTCTCGCTCAATATGTGGTTTATCATGTCCAAAGTGACATATGAAGTCTTCGTGAATTGCCTCAGTCAAGCAATATGAATTGCTACAGTCAAACAATATGAATTGTCTTAGTCAAACAATAACACATTAGAAACTGTATTGCCCAATAAGGAAACCCCACCTAATTTGGACAAAAGTAGGGTCAAATTGACTGACGGGGAAATTCAAACAATATGACCCGAACAGTTCAAACAATATGTTCTCAGCAATTGGAACATCATGGGATGGGCAACTCACATCGACAACCCGTCGGATGCATTTGATGTGTCAGCGTTAGCATCCTGTCTGGTTTTGACTTGAATTACGGCTGAAACATCATGGGTGAACTGAGTCCATGAGATGTTCCCTGCTTCGTCGGAGTATTTCTTCATCAGCAACAGTTGGGCGACCAACGGCAAGGACTGGAAGGCCTTCTTCGTCTGGTTCTCAACCTCCAACAGCATGTGATAGTTTTGGTTGAAGATTACCTCTGCTACTTTTGTACTTCTGCTCTCAACCTTGGTTGATGAACTTGTAACGGTCAGCAACTTCTGCAAGTCGCCCATGTCGAGTTCACGCAGAATCTGCTTCATGCTGATGTCCTGCTGGTTGGCGATGTGCGTGGCCTGTGTGATTTTCTGAACCAGAGCACTGATAGCGGGCGATGCGTTGGGTTGGGCGTTGAACCTCAGCATGTTCATGCCAATCATGTCCTCAAGACGCATTGTTGTCTCTTGCTTTGAACTGTTTCCAGAAGCAAGACCTCTTTTTCCTCCGCCAGTGATGAGTAAAGAAAGGTAGACGATGCTGTTGTTCACCAATCTGTTCTGCTCAATCGTGATGTTAAAGTGAATGAGGTTTCCGTTGGACATAGTCATCTTCTGCATTTGGATTGGAACCTTGAACTTTCTCTGAACGAAGAAACGGAGAGACTTCGCCTTCCATGAGCCGCACACCTTGAAGGAGCACGACTTGCGACTGTTGCCGACGTCCTCAAACTGCTTGTTGATGGTTAGATTGATGAACTTGTCCTCATTTGACTCATCTTCTCCTTCTGGGTCTGATGGAACACTGTCCTCACTGTCTTCACTGTCTTCTGAACCATCTCGTTCTTCACCTTGTCCTTCTCCATGATGCTCTTCGCCAACGCCACTGACGGCTTGCTGTGATGTTCTCAACTGCTCGTTCTCAATCTGTAGTGTTGTCATCTTCTCCTGAAGACTTACCATCTCCGCCTTCAATTTCCTACTCCAATGGTTTTCTCCTGATGGGCGTTCACCGCTTTTACTCTTCTCCGTGGAAGCGGACGACATCTTGGAGTGAGAGAAGCCCTACACAAAAACTACCGTGGCGTTTGATGTGACAGGATGTCAATCACTTCAATCAAAGCAACTGCACAACTGTCAAAGCAATTGACGAATTGAATGACTGATGAAAGCAAGACAAATCACTCCTTTTGTCTGCGCCGTGTGAAGGATGGCATGTCTTTGCAAAATGGGTCATCTCTGAAGAACTGCACCGCTCCTACTCGCTACTGGCATTCGGAACACATCAGAGGCACCCCATTTGGCGGTCTGAAGGTCAAACGAC